CTTAAATTGATTTTCCTAATTAGAATACAAGCATTAATTGAGCGTGAGTGGATACAGGCTGGCCATCCATTTGCGTCGCGTCATCGGTATGCTAGTTATACGCCCGCGCAGAATCGTCCCAAAAATGCTGGTGCTTCGTTTGTGTTGTTGCTCGATTGTATCTACCAACTGTATACACAATTTCCCTGCAGTTTTGAATTTAGCTCGCAAATTCTAATCTTACTCTATGAGCACAGTTATTTCTCACAATATGGCACCTTTCTATGCGATTCCGAACGCGAGCGTCAGGAGCTGGGCGTACATACACGTACAACTAGTTTGTGGTCATATTTAAATCGGCCAGATGTACTGAAAAATATGTTAAATCCATTGTACGAGCCAAATCCAAGCGTGATTTGGCCTAGCGTGGCGCCGATCTCTTTGGAGCTTTGGAGTGGTAATGAATGAATAATGTAAAAGAAGTTATTGTTGTATTTTGAAACTTTTCTTCAACATAATTTCAGAACTTTATCTGCGCTGGACCCTTGAACAGAAGAATAGCACACAAACAATGCAACAAATACAGGAATTGGTCACACAAGAAAAGGAATTGCGGGCAAAAGTAAGTACTTAACTTTATAACTAATCTCATTCAAACTATGATAAATGTATCGCAGGCAATACGGTTACGCAAACAAGCCTCAGACTTGAGCCTTGAAATTGAGGAACTCATGGCTGCTGATTGATTGCCGCAACCAAAAGATCCATCGCAATTCATTACAAGTTTAGCAAGTAATTGGGATATTACTGATTATTCATAAAACTAATTCAAATGTCCCCTTTTGCTCTCTAACTATCTCTCTTAAAACTGTTTTATTGTAAAGTATTCGAATAGTCTTCGGACACAACAGGCATCACAGTGGTGAATATGTGCACCATTAAATTGAGTCAATTTTTGACGCATTTTTATTGAATTAAGTATAGGTTTATAAATAGGATAATGATGAAATATAAATTTAACTAATATTCCTTTTGGGAAGAAATTTGAAGAAAGCTGTAAATAATAATGCCAATTATACTTCTAGTATTTTAAAAGCAATGCAAATTGAAACGTTTTTGAAGGAGCAGGTTGCATCAAAATCATATATGTATGTATTTATGTATACATATTTATTAATAGTTTACTACTAAAGTTAACATCGCGGTCACTTAAATGGTGTACTCTTCTTTATTCGAGTGAAAAATTTTCAAGCATCGTATAAATCCTTTTAAATAAAAAAGCGAGAAAAAAAATTCATTCGTGACGATTCTAGGTGTAATTTTTTCATGAACGTTCTACACACGACCGTCTGCCTTCTAGTTAATACATACCAAATAAAAAAAAAAAATCAGTAAATGGCTACTAAAGAAATTACAAATTTGGGTGTCAGTATAGTATACATTTGTATAATGAGCTTACTTGCAAAATGACTTTACAACACTCGGCTGTTTATGTGAGGCAAAAGGATTGAAATCAAAACGGCAATCAATTTCGTCTGAAAATAATTTTTTTGCCAAGAATTTCTTAATTTTGAATAAAAACTCAATACGTGTATATTTTGTATCATGCTAATTAAAAATTGAAGTCGCTTTCAAACTGCACGATTTTAAAATAAAATAAACAGACTTAACAATTAACATGATGTTGTAATTTAATATGTAGTGGTTTATGAATCTAGTTTAGCCTTGCCTATGACAGTCGGCTTTTGAAGGAACGTTTTGCTTGACTAACCCAGCTACTTCATTCAAAAGATATCTAAATAATTTCGTTTACGCATCCGGTCTGCCTTTAATTCGCGCTTTTATATAATTTTTTTTATTACAGTATTTTCTTTAATTTGACTATTGAAAAATTGTACAAAATAGTTTTAACATAACCATCTGTAATGTTTCACGACTAGCAGTAACATTACAAGACAAAAGTAAGGATCCAGAAAAAATCTATACAAAAATAGAAATTAGCACTTAAATATCCAACAGCAGTTGGGATGAGCTTTGTTTGTCTTGATCTTTTGTAAAGATTACAAAATTTATGAATGCACAAAAAGATATCTAAACCATTTATGTCTCCGAGTAACTGCGCTATATTGTGTTCCAGTTGTATATAATTCACATAATATACTTCCTTAATTGCCGGCATCATCCTCCAAGAAGAAGAATTGACCGCAACGTTTTTGTTCAGTGTCCTGCGTTTGAAAAATATATTTTTTATATTTACAATAAAAACCTAGAAATTGTACTTACCTTAACCGAATTGTTTTTGTTGATGCGTGGTCTGAAATTGTTGGGATCTCTGCGGAAGGTGATGCCTAAGAGTTCCAGGAATCGATTCATGCCATTTAATAATGATTGTGGCGAGAAAGCAGTGGTTTTTACAGAGGGTTGACCTTCGAGTACAATAACACGATCAGCTAGGTAAGTCGCCATGATAAAATCGTGCTCCACGACGAAGCCGGTACGTTTCGCATGTAGAATAAATCTGCACGAACAGTAATGAATAAAATTGTACACATGGGAAAGAGAAATATTTTAGTACCTCTTGATGACCTTAGCTGCTACCAAACGTTGTTCGGAATCTAAGTAAGCCGACGGCTCATCGATAAGATAAACATCTGCTGGCTTACCTAGACAAAGAACTAGAGCGACGCGTTGCAATTCACCACCAGATAAATTCTGCACCTCTTGATCCATTATTTCCTCGATTTTCATGGGCTTCATAACGTCTGCAATGAATTGTGGATGCACATAAGCGTCACGAATTTTGTCGTGCAACAGATGACGCACCAAGTTTTGAAATTTGGGTGAAATTTTTTGCGGTTTGTAAGATATATTTAAAACTGGCAAGTCGACTTCTTCATCTGGTTGCAAATTTCCAGCCAACATGCGAATGAAAGTTGTCTTTCCGGTACCATTTTCACCCAATAGAACGATAATTTCAGAATCGCTAAAGTGACCTTGTTCCACAGTTAATTCAAATTTTCCCAATGTCTTTTTCATGGAGGGATACACATAGTGATTCATGCGTTTAATTTCCTCTTCAGTTGCTGATTCAGAGACCTAAAATTTAGAATCCCTTATATGTCGAAATGAAACCATTTTCTTTTTAATTATATAACTTTACCTTGAAGGTTAGTGATTCAGTCCGGAAACGCATGTTTTCGGTTGGCACAAACCCATCCAGGAAAATGTTTATGCCTTCACGTACCGAGAAAGGCATTGTAACAACACCGTAAACACCTGGCACACCGTAAAGACAACAAATAAAATCCGAAAGATAATCCAAAACTGACAAATCGTGCTCCACAACGATAATAAATCTAAATGAAGAATTACATTAATCAACGGACCAATGTTTAAAAAAATTGGTATTCACTTCGTGGGATGCAGTAGATGTCGAATGGTTAAAGCAGCATTTAGACGTTGCTTCACATCCAAATACGATGAGGGTTCATCAAACATGAAAATATCACCATCCTGAATGCACACCATTGCAATAGCAAAGCGTTGTAATTCCCCACCAGATAGCTGAGCAATGTCACGGTCACGTATATGCAGCAAGTCCAGCATTTTACAAATTGTACCCTGATTCTTGCGTTCGTCTTTTTTGTCGAGTAGTTCAGCGACAGCACCACGCACTGCCTTAGGTATCTGATCAACGTACTGTGGCTTCACGAGCGCCTTCAAATTGTCTTCCAATATTTTGGTAAAGTAGTTCTGCAACTCTGAACCCCGGAAATATGCCAAAATTTCGGTCCAGTCTGGTGGATCACTGTATCTTCCCAAGTTAGGCTTTTGTTTGCCGGCGAGGATTTTCAGTGCTGTGGACTTGCCGATACCATTTTGGCCAACTAGTCCAAGCACTTCACCAGGTCTAGGAATCGGGAGACGATGCAGTTTAAATGAGTTTTTTCCATATCGATGGGTGGTATGCTTCTCCAGATTACTGGGAACGTTGATGATTGTAATAGCTTCGAAGGGGCATTTCTAAAATGGTATTGCTAAACTTTAGTTTTTTTTATATGTTAAGACACGGGCTCCTTACCTTTACGCAAATACCGCAACCTATGCATAGTTCTTCCGAGAGTGAAGCAATTTTTGACGTGGGCGCCACCTCAATGCAAAGTTTCCCCATGCGAACAACGGGGCAGGATTTCTTGCATTCCTGACGGCAACGCTTTGGCTTGCATTTATCATCGCTGACTATAGCAATACGCGTCTGTTTATCTGTCTCCTCATTTTCCTTTCTCCGCGACATGCTGAAAGTAAGTTATAAACAAATGTTATAGCTACATATTTAAAAAAATGAAAGCGTGTTGCGTTTCGTGAAGTATTAACATTGACAACGAAGCAATCCACTCCCACTCCAACCCTTACCCCTAAAAACTAACTAGGGGATCAACATCAAGACACGCGTATTACACTCAGCCTGGCTGGTGAATTAACACTGACAACGAAGCAATCTACTATTACTCCAATATTCCCCCTAAAAACTAGGAGATTAACTATCAAGGCACCCGTATTTATACTCGCCTGGTTGGCATTGTTCGGGAACCAACCACGGTCAGCGAAAGCACCCAAAATATAACCTCAACTTTTTGCGAAACTTATGAGCTATATATCTTTTTCCATTAGTTCACAACACCACTCCTCTTATGCGAAATACATACTTTCTAAAGCAATATAATTTATGGATATTCTGGTGTTATATTACCTCAAAGATTATAAAATTTACTAAACACGGCGAACTAAACACCTCGCCTTGGAATTTCAAAAGGGGAATGCACGGTTGCCACTCTCCGTAGTTTGGTACCAAAAGTAGTACATTTTTTCATCGATGGTAAACAGTAGTTTGTACCGTTTTCCATAAAAAGGTGATTTTTTAATAAAATTATAAACTTGAGATTTTTGAGATTTTATCAATTGCTATTCATCATAAACTAAGTAAATTGGCGAAGAGATTAACTCCAGTGAAGCAAAAACACTAGTATGAAATTGTACTCCAATAATAATATTTATTATTAAAGTTGCGAAAAATTTAATAAAAATCTACTTCATAAATATGTTATGCATTAGTTCCCCTTTGTAACGGTTATGTTGAAAATTGTTGGTGTTATAATTTTTCCTTTCTCAATATCGATGACAAGTTTAAAAATTATAAGATTTCTCCTTTTTTCTTCAAAGTGACAATCAATTATAACCTCCCTCGCGTTTCCTGGAATATCATGTTAAATAATAAATACAAAAAAATTTTAAGTTTTTGCGTAAATTAATAAATAAATTAAATTAAATTAATAAATAAAGCTGGCGCTCATTAATGGAAAATGGATTTTCTTTGTTATGATTTTGGTACTAATAAATTTTGAGTACTGGCAACCGTGGTCGAAAAGGAAACGTCACAATGGTAAACTGCGTTACCAATTGGGAACGTCGACAATGAAGTGCAGATACCAATTCCTAAAAAATGATATTTTTTAATTGAATATTTTAAAATAACTACAAATACTACGGTATTTTTTAGGCTCTTTCTATTTATGTACACATATAAAAATTTTTGATTATTGTTAACATTTGTAGTTTGCAAGAAGCTGAATTCCGCAAGATCTATTACAATTTTTGATGTCAAAATTCCATGTCAAAAATCGATGACGTTCTGACATTTCACAAGACAGTCCACAGTTTTCTTTTCCTAGACAAAATTTTAACACGTCGTGGAATTGTTATTTTTAAGCGAAAATAATGGTCGAAGAAACTCCCAGCACAGAAAATGTGGAGAAAACTGAAGGAGACCAACCTGCTCAGCCAGTGGAGCCCACCAAAGTCTTCACCGTTGAAGGTAAGATAAACAAACTTGCTTAGGTCAGACAAAGACCTTAACCTACAAATGGAAATTGTAATTGGATTTCGTGCATCACTTTCTCCACTTTATCGTTTATTTATCTTTCTGAACTGCAGTACTGCATATGGTGAAGGATGCCCAGCAACAACATGGTTTGCGACATGGGGACTACCAACGGTACCGTGGCTATTGCACCCGACGTATTCGTCGTCTCAGAAAAGCCCTAAAGTATCCACAGGGCGACAAACGTCATTTCAAACGGCGAGATGTAACATTAGCTCAACTAACTGGAAAACGGGCTGATGAACGTTTCATTCACATCCCATTGATAAGTGCAGAGCGGGATTGGTCTTATGCGATGCAGTTAAAACAGGAAGCTAACACGGAGCCAAGAAAACGTTTTCATTTGATTAACAAGCTTCGCAAAGCATGCTTCTATGCTTTACAACTGCAAGAACTGTGCAATGTAATTTGGTTTATTATTGCGTTTGTGGATATTTTCATTACATATTATGTTTTTCTCTTCAGTCTGATGTATTTGATGCGCGCACAAAACTAGAATGTGAGGCTTATGTTGCTTGGATGCACGGATCGCTGCACTTCGAACTTCAGTTATGGGGTAGTGCATTAGAGCACTTGAAACGTGCGCAAGTAGTTTATGAAAACCTTGCAAAGGCATTGCCAGATGACGAACAGGAACTCTATCGGGTCAAAGTTAACGAATTCACGCCTAATCTTCGTTACTGCGCTTACAATATTGGTGGCGGTGGTGGTGCCAGCAAAATGGATGATTTACTTGAGTTGCGTGCACAAGGATTACTTGAGAATTTAGATTTGCTAGTTAGTCAAACGAAAATGGAAAGTAGCGAGGGCTTGCAAACAATTGAATGGCGTAACCGTAAAGTTACTGTACGGCCAGAGAAGGTGCGTCTGTTTTTTGCTCAGCATACAAGAAGTAGATAAATCGCTAGAGAAGACATCGAAAATAGAATCAAAGATTGAATTGATTGAACGCATTTTAATGGATTGCAAAGACGCCATACAGGCAGTAAAAGAAGAAATAAAACAAGATCCGAAATTGCGTTCACTTACAACGGGCCAAACTGTGAGTGGTGTGCAGTATTTACTTGCATATTTGTCGTATATACGGCATAGCCGCACATTGCAACGCAATCTATGTCTTGTAGAACAGGTAAGATGAAGACTGCATAAATGCGACCTCATTATTATAACAAAAACATTTGATCCAAACATTTCAGGCTAAATCCAATTTCGACGACCCCAATCAAAAGTCACAAGTTATTGGCGATGGCAAACGTGTGAGATCCCAAGACCTTGCACGCTTGTATGAAATAATTTTGCAGAATGTCAGTGAGATGCAGCAAATACAAGGAATGGAAGAAGACGCCACCTACCAAGCAGAAATAGAAAACTTGGCACTCACATTTAAGGCATTCCGTTGCTATTACATTGCTTTGACACTGATCGACATGAAAAAGTGGAAAGAAGCTGTTGCTCTTTACGAACGTTCTTCCAAATATGCCAACGAAGCATTAGCTGGGAAAGCAAGCGAAGAGTTCAAATTAGCCGATGATTTGAAAATACTCGTGTCAACAATAGAAGGTTGCAAATTCTCTGCGCATGCATATAGTGTGCTCGAGAATGACACATCCGACGATGCTATTTTCACGTCCAAGTCTCAAAAATCTACGAAACCCTTATTCGAGCGTCTGTCACAATACAAAGAGGATCAATCGCTTCACACCAAAACGCCGAACGTTTTCAAGATGACACCTGAAATGGAGGCAATTCCCTGCAAGCCGCTATTCTTCGACCTGGCGATCGGTCATATTGAACTACCGCCATTGGATGATAAGCTGCACTCGCCAGGAAACAAGGGAGGCGCATCGATTTCTGGATTCGTAAAAGGATTTTTGGGCTGGGGTGGAAATAAATGAAGTGGATTTGGTAAACTTATTTAAACACAGCATAAACAAATTAGTTATTTTCACAAATGAATATTCTAAACGTTAGCTCCCGGCTAGGATTACTGACCAGAACATTATAAAAAGTATCATGTATTCTCTACATTCGACACGCGCCTTGAATAGAGCGTTCACTTGAGAAATGCATTTGTGTATGGTATTGGAACATATTTAGCAACCCAATAATAGTTTTTTTTTTCTCTTTTTTATGCTTCAATTCCCATTTGGAATAAAAATACCCATCGCATTTGTTTAGGTGAATTTTGAAATAAAAATTTACTACTTAATGATATGTATATCAAAAAAATATATTTCATTTATATGGATTGGTTCCAGAACTACAAAAACTAAAATGGATATCTTTTAATAATTAGCTAATTATGCTAATATGTTATCTAAATTAAACAATTCATGCTAAATTAGACTACGAGTACCTACATACGCCTAACTATTTCTCTAGCCAGGTACGGAAATAACCATTTTGATGAAACTCCAATGCAAGATCTTTTATTCTGGAATGATACTCTTCCGTTAACTTTTGTGTAACTTTGATTTCATTGGCTTTTGGAACAGCTTCACTGATGGCATCTAAATTTGGTATATTATTTGGATCGAATGTGACTGCAGGCAATACCCACATGGAAACTGCTAAACCGTAAAAGGCATGCGCCTCAAACTCTTTCATAATATTTTCTAGTGAAAAAGTCTGGCGAATAGATGCTAAGTGTTCGGGCGAATTCAAAAGTTGCTCCAAACGATTGTGCAGCGCACGGTGATATGTCGTCAGCAAGCTATTTGTATGAGCATCACGCAGTTCACGCTTCGTGCTAGTAAACATAAAATGAAGTATATCGAAGATGAACGAAGTGTAACGCATTGCCTGAATTTAAATAAAGAAAATAGCATTAGCATCGGAGACTATATTTGTGTGAAGTAAATCTTCCACCGAAAAATTTTACCTGTAAATCAAAGAACTTCACTTCTTTCGGTGCTTCGCATGCGCTACTGTCATCCATGCTAGACCTAAACATGATGTTATTAACATACAAGTCACCATGACACATCACACTGACGCAGTCGCTGGCATTATTTATGCTGTACATAATTTTCTTATATAATTCGGCTTTTAGTTGCTCTATCACACAAATCGAATCCGAAAGGCTGCCATCGACATTGGATTCCCGTAAACTTTTCACCGCTTCCTCTATTGAGGAGCTAAGTAAATTTCCATAAAAGTTCTCGGCTTCTTCACAATACACAATTTCATTAACTTTACAATAACGCTCACGGAAATCGTTATCACCCAAGTGTTTGGCTGCTATAGATGTGGCGTGCAACTTGGCAAGTTCCTAAAATGAAACAGAAAGGTTTTTTGGTGCATACCTGTACTTATGTATGTATGTATGTACATATGTCCTCCATAATGCCTACCTTCATAACTATTTCACAGTGATGTAGATCGAATGGCACTAACCGGTTGGGCATGCGATAACCGAGCCGCTTCAAGTCTTCCAGTACAATGAGTTCGCCTTTCTTATCGTTGCCGGCATAGTAGCATTGCGGAAATACTGTATCTCCGTTGATGAAATATTTTTCTAGAACGGGTATCACATGTGTATAGGCGTTTATTTCATTGCAAAACGCTTCATCGCAGCGAAAGAGTTGACGTCGTGATCGACTTAAAATTTGCCTTTTCACTATGAAACTAAAATGCTGTGCACCTGCAAAGGTTAAAATCGGGTTTTATTAGAATTTAAATTCAATTGAGGCTTATAAACTAAAAAGTAGATACAAATGCACATAGCTATGCAAAAATATGACCTGTTTTAGCTTTATTTAGTAAATTGCAAAATTCTTAACGTTTATGATACCACTATTCGTTGTTGCCGGGGTATACACGAACCAAAGGCAACTGTGCGATAACAACATCCACGTTTGTGTACCAGCTGATTTTTGTTTACAAAGTGGTACAGAGAGGGCTTCATTGACGAGGTGAGTCGTGGGTGGCGCGCAGGAAAATAATAACTAAATAAAACAATAACTTTGTTAGTGTGCGCTCAAATGACCTTTAAGAGCGAGATTAGAAGATAAAAGTGAGAGCGGTTGTTTGTTGCACAAAACTGCACAAAACCAAACTGAGAGTAGTACAACTGCAGATGATTTTTGCGTTGGTAGTAGTGAGAGGAATCGGACTCTGCCAACAACAAATGCTTTAGCTGTGTGCACACTAAATTGAACATGTGAATGTATGTACATACATACATACATACATTAAGTTCTCAATGGCAGGGGTAGTAGAAAATAGAAATGCTTTTCAATTGTTTATATGCGCGCCCGAATGAGGGGTGTTTGTGATGGCGGCGACTATCGGCGGCATAAGTAAAAAGAAAAACAACAAATTGACGCTACGCAAGGTCATTGCGATGAACGAAAAAAATGCTATTTGACGGCTTTCATATAACAAATACAAAATACACCTAAATATGAACGTACATATGTATGTATGTACACTGTCGGTAAAAAGTATTGGCACAGCGAATTTTGCACTATATATGCACCGATTTCTATTCTAATATTTTTCCGCTAATAAAAAATATAATTTCTAAACTTAGTCAAATCTTGAGTATGCAGTTTTGTAGTCCATTATATTGTAGTATAAAAAGTGCTAGTTCGGAGTAAGTCAAAAATCGCATTGGTTTTTGAGAATTTTTTTTTCTTAAGGTGCTTTGCTTTTTTCCATATTTGCGAAATTTTTTTATATAGAAGAGACTGCGTTAAAAAAATTTGCCTCAAATCAACAGTAACTCGTGTAGCTACTCCGAACTTCTACTTTATTACAATAAAATTGATTGGGCTACAAATCTGCAACTCAAAAAAATTCTAAAAATCTGATTAAAAAGTTGAAAGTTTGCTTAACTTTCACGAGTTTTGCACAAAGTTTAGAACTAATACTTTTTTTTTTGTTGTAGAAATAACCATATTTTTATAAAAAATTGGGGGAAAAACTTTACAATAAAAATTGTTGCATATATCGTAAAAAAGCAACTTTTTGCCGGCAGGTTATGTATTTATAATATATAATAAAGACAAAATTTGCAAAAACTTAAAATAAAAAAAGTTGAAAAACGATTTAATTTCTTCGAAGCATACGCTTTTCTGAGTCATAAGGATTAGCATGTTGAGGTCCTTATGTTTAACTGTTTATTTTACCGTATTTTTATTTACTATTTCACCTTTGTGTGCCTCTACTCCGGCACTGAACTCGTGTGTACTAACTTCTATACGCTTCACTATCGACATATAATTATCACCATGATTGCTGCCTGCCGAACAGCGCCAGTATCGCACGTCGAAGGATATAACTTTTTTTAAAGGCACACAATTGCACAAAGTATCCACGTCCTCTTCGTATACACAAGCGCCATCAGCCATTTTCACACACGCACACATACACACACGAGCGTATACACGCAATTGCAACGGAAACTCTGCCAAAGGAAACCTGTTATGGAAACCGTTAACAGTAAACGTGTTGCGCGTTCTTCGCGATGTGTCAGAGCGACAATCGAACTATTTATTAATTTTTTCCATCATTTAAAAAGCTGCTGGTGGCATGCCGCTGGATGGAGGCCGCACTAAAAGTGCTGATTACCGCTAAGTACAGCGGAAATATGTATATACAACGCACGTGCCACACACATACACACACATACACACACGCATACGTTGTGAACGCTTGTGTAATTTGCTGCAGTTGCTAAATTCTAGCTGACCTCATAGTTTAATTACTTCACGAAAATGATGAGAAAAAGAACGGTTCTCGTCGAATGCACTCCACTCAATTAAGGGCCGAGCAAAAAAAAAAAAGGTCACATTTGGTAGTACTCCACTGACACAATTCCGTTAAGTTTTTGTTTATAAACAATATAAAAACAGCATTCGTTGCATTTGTGCAGCAGTGCAACGTTATCAAATAAAAAAAAAATTTAATTTTTTAAATTATGCTTAATTCGCCAACATTCTGTGTGAGACAAGCGCCGAGTGAGAACTAAATCCTCTTAAATCGGCGGGCGCGTGTGCGGCCAACGCGAGCTGCAGCAGGCAATCATTCAGTGCAGCAGGCGTTGTGGCGGCAGTAATAATGCATGTAAAAATGCTTACGCATGTACATTTGTATGTATATATGTGCCTAGGAGAGTGGGTCCACTTGACGCTGACGCCAGCAGCGCTGCCGCCGGAGACGCAAGTATTAACATCGACCGGTTTGCGCTTCTCTGCTTCAATTCATTTTTTACGAAATGCAGACATGTGCAATGCAAAACAAAAAAATAAAAAATAAAAAAAAAACAAAAAAAGAATAGAATGAAAATGTGTTTAGCAAAGCCGGCAACTTAGCAGCATAGGCACGACCAGAAGTGTGTCCAAAACAAATGTCCACTATGTACATATGTATATACATATGTAGTTGCAATTGTACATTAAAGTAGCTGCTAGACGTGGCAAGTGCGAGTCCTTTTCAAAAGTCTGTCAAACTCAAGAATTTCCAAAAGAGATTACAGGAGCAGTTACACCTTGCATGTAAAGTGGCTTTGGAAAGCAGTTTTCATTTCTCCGATACTACTTTTTGTCTGTTTACACGGTGAATGCAGACAAATAATAATAAATAATAATAAATAATAAAAAATTTACTAAACCTGTTAAAATGATTTCGGCAAATCTGCATAAAGGACTTTCTGGCTGTTTACAGGGGAAAGTAGAATTTCGATTTCGAATTTTGACAGCAAATTGCATAGAAAAAGCGCTTGCATTGCCACGTTTAACCGCACCTTAAAGCTCAAGGACAACATGACGTATGAGTAATTTTGATTAACTGCCAATGTCATAAGAGTGTGCTTGTATGCATGTTTGCTGTAGATATTGTATGTATGCGTTGGCGAGCACAGGCAACGAAATAACACTGTGCCACAAAGGCGTAGAAGTTTTGGATTAACTGGTTTTCTTAAATTCCTCGAATTCCTTATTTTTACATATGTATCTACATGCATATGTCAAGGGCGTATGGAGAAGGAAACTTTCAGAATAATGTGCCCCAGTTAATGTTTGTGTGAATAAACATATACATATAAAATACGCGAAGGGATTTTTTTGTCCAGGTCATAAGATCTGCACCGTTTGTTCGATTTATAAAAATTAGGTCTCAAATTAGAGGACTTGGGGTGTAGATGTCCAATAAGATTTTTCGAAAAGAGTTGCCACCTGTTTAACAATTCAATTTGAATTATTTAATAATCAATGCCATCAGATCCGCACAGTTCGTTCGATTTTCAAAAATTACGTTCCAAATTAAAAGGTTTGGGCTGCAGATGTAAAATAAGGTTTTTCCTTTTCGAAAAGAGCTGCCAGCTTTCAAAAAAAAAAAGTAATTAAAATCATTTAAGATGTTAAATCTATAATTGCAATATGGGTCTCAATCGAAATGGTCTTGGAAAGGCCTTATTTCTTAACTACGTGTAGGAGAGTTGCCACCTGTTTAAAAAAGAAGGTTCAGCTTAACTTAGGCAATTGGGCAATTGTTCACTATTTGGGTGTCAGACAAATGAAATTTAAGCAGGTTTTAGTTGGAAAAATATATAATATGGGTTACAAAAAAACAAACATGGAGGGTTGCCACATGTTAAAAAAGTTAAAAATAAATTAAATGAATTAATAAAAGATTCGATTTAGACATCGCATTCAAGTTAAATATATATTTTTATAAACAAATATTTTGTTAATTTTTTTTTAATATTGCAGTTTTGTAGCTTATTAAATTATAGTATAATAAAGTGCAAGTTTCAAGAGGCTAAGGAATCGCGTTGATTTTTGATAATTTTTCTCCCGACGATGTTATTTTCTTCCATACGAAAAAAAAAATTGTCGACATTGGTAAATACGCTTGCAAATATGCTCTACAAAATTTAAGTACATTTTAATGTTTTACTTTTATCCAGTTTATTTCAAGTTTTGAAAAATTACAATGGAAAATCCAGTGTTGCTTGTTATTCTCAAATAATAGAGATCTGCGCTGGCCGTTTTGATGTTTTAAAATATTCGAATTCATCCCGAAATGGCCCTAACTAGTCCAGAAAAAGTCTCGAACTGGTTCCAAACTTGTCCGGAAATCATCCCGAACTAGACCCCAAAAAGTCCAGAACTAATTAACCGAATTAATGCCGTACTAGTCCCGAAAAAATCCTGAATTAGTCCCGAAATGCTCCCGAAGTAGTACCGAACTATATCAACGAGCAGGGTTGCTAGAACAGCTGATTACATTTGTTTCATTCATACTAAGTACTTCTGAATTCGTCTATCTTGATTTATGCGTGACGGTTTATGCAAATTTTAAAAATTTCCGTCTTACTTTTTATCAATACATTACTGTAGTGCATGTGACTAAAACTATGCAACGAAAAATTGTAAACGATTATATTTGCGATGTGTAAGTCTCTTAGCAAATACTAGAACAACTTATAACAGCAGTAAACCGACGTCGGTATTAATTGAATTTTTGAAAATTTGGATCTTGACGGATTAACAGATTAACTTCCAAAGAATGGAGCATCAACCGCTTTTATCAGCCCAGATGCCTTCTGAGGCATGAGAATGGTGGCACATAAATCGACACTAGGGGGAATCCAGAGAATTAGATTAGAACTCGAGACGGCATTGCCCTATCCCCAACAATAAGAAAAAATCTATACCAAAGAAAATCCATTCAAAAAGTCCCATATTTATTTTATTCATATTTTTGATCCTTTGTTTAAACATCTTAATCACACCACACTGTGCCTACCACCCCAATAATTGCACTTGAAATTCGTGTGCATGCGTATCCTTGAAATACTTTCAAACATTGTATGCAGCCAAGTGCAATGTCTTGATTTTTGTAGCCAGACATACTTATTTATCTATGTCTGTATGTGTTTATATTTATAATGAAATGGCTGTTCGTGAGTGCAGTTTTGTATCACTTCTACTTTCCTGCATATGTATGTATGTGTATAGTCGCCCACCATCCGACATTATACATACATACATATATACATATGTGCGTACCCGAGTATGGATTATTCTCCAACCGGTCATTCATGCATTCAACGAATTTCACATTGATACAAGTACATTTGCATTTCTTAGCATTTATATACTTACTTATCTACATCTATATATATTTTATATGGACGGTGTTTTGGCAAAACCAAGTATCTCAGAAATCGCCACCATCTCATCTTATCTCGTGAAATTAATTAAAAAAAGGCCTTAATATACTATGATTCTTTATATTTTGTCCCTAATTAACCAAAAATACTTAATTTTTATTATTCAGAAAAAAACTACATTTTAAAAATGATTTTTTTTTTTTTGTTATTAATAGAAAGATTTTTGTTTGAGAGCATTTTGAGATACGAGCTTTTGCCAAAGTACCCTCGATATGCATGCACGTATATGTATATACATTAGGGTGGTCTAAAAATGTATGTGAAAAAAGAAAAGTCGAAATTTTAATGCTCTCAAATTTATTTTGATATCAAAAAAATATTTAGATGTCGCTCAAAGCGCACAAAATTTTCCATGTATCTTATATTTTAAAAAACAAATTTCCGTAGGAATGGTATATAGTTTATTTTTCGATCGGGAAACTCTGCTTCACTGCAGGAGACTTCCAATAATAATACCCAATTATTTAAATGACCATTTTTTAATATTAACGATTTTTTTGGGTCCCCCATTGCATTTTCTGGGGTTCCTGGGGGAGCTACAAAATAAGTTTATATATAAAAAATAATCAATTGATTTTCAAGAATTATATATTTCTACAAAAAATTGAATTTTCGCATATAAAATACATGCAAGGTTTTGAGCGCTTTGAGCGTCGTCTAAATAAATATTTTTTGATTTCAAAAAAAACAGGGTGATTAAAAACAGGCATTAAAATTCCGATTTTAAATTTTTTATGGACCACCCTAATATACATATGTATTTTCATATGTGCATATAGCGATAGACTAAATGCTTGCATGGCTGGATTTTTAATGCGTAAGCCAATGCAAATGCAAATTGCAAAAATTCCAAAACATATAAATAATTGACCAAACAGTTAGATCGACAAACAAGTACTATATAGTACATATGTATGTATATGTAGACATACAGACGTTCATGATTTATACATGCATACAAGTGAATTGGTCTACTGCGTGCAATAAAATGCATGACAGCTCACTTAAAGCGGCATTCCGCCTAGTCAATGTCGACCATACGGCGTCCAATGTCATTGCTAACACCATCGAAACAAGGTGACAATACTTTTGCAACATACTTACATACATATATAGTAATTACGTATCCACATACATACATACATACATACATGTGCAAGCCTGTGCACCCTCTTTAGGCTGACGTGTATGTTGGTCAATAACTACTCATTTGAAAAATCCATATAAGGATATTTTATTCATTAGAGAATTGTGCTGGTTACACCACAGCAGTAAGTAGCAGTCATTTTGCCTCCGTTTAACCTTGAACTTGCGTATTTTATGTGTTTTGTAAGTACCAATGTCGACTCTGGTCAGATGTTGTTTGTAAATGTAAAATGTGTTGGTTACGGTGGCGTATGAG